ATTTTAATAGAAAGAAATTGAAAAGGTTTTAAATGACACAGCAAGATAAACGAGAATTCATTACAATCTATTGTCATTTTGAATGGGGTTAGCAATGCAAACAAAGTTTGGATCAAATTTTTAAAACAGAGGAAAATTATTACCAACACATACAAATTTAATGAGGACATTTGGTATACATATTTCATTTCGACATAAAGCTGTTTGTGAAGATAATTTCAATCTAATCATTCTTTTAAAACAATTTGACAACTAAGGCATATAAAAGAGTACTCCCCAGTCTCGTTTTATTCACCAGATTTGAACCTGAAAGAACTTTATAAAATTATAAAAAATTAGAATCACTAATAACATGGCTCCGTTCGAACGAAAGATGAACTGAAACTTAAATTCACAGATCTAAGTTCCGTTCCAAGAAACTAAACTTCAACAACCAATCAAATTGGAAGAGCATACGTTGCCCTAGCAGTCAAGTAACAAGAATATATATTCTTTTACAGAGTGAAGCTTTAAATTAAACTGGGATGGAAGCGCTTGATGGACAATTTAAAATATGTACCGTCTTTTTTACAGGCCCACCAATTCAGCACGAAAATTTTTTTGCAGTTATAAGAAATTGGTATATATTCATCATGCGCTATGTCAAGAACTGAAAAAACAAAAGTTAATTTCCCTTTCAGAGTTTATTTACAGAAATGAGCTCAACTTTGGAGTTGTGATTGTAGTTAATACCAACTGAAGCAGAGATTCGGTTTTTTTCTAATTCATTGGATATATAACAACTTTATAGCATAACTTCTTCACGTATCTGTGATTGTCAGGCATTCGATCAATGGAGATATTACTATATTTTCAAGATAGATGTCTTTATTGGAAAGAATGAGTTTTCATTGTGGTAAGACTTTATTCACATTCAACAGTGTGATGCTAAGTTAAAAACTCAATTTCTGCTGTTTAATTTACAGAATAGAATAACATGATTCAAGATTCTTTTTAACATTTGAAAGTGAAAAATAGTTATAAGCAATAACAGTTCAAATTACATTTTATGCATTCATAAAGAAAATGGAGAGAAGCTTTATAGAAGAAACTGGTTTTTTTCTCAGAATTGAGGAGGATAATACACATTTTTTTTTATGCAATCCCTTTTAGGTATGAATCTTAAAGATTGAAGAGTTTGTTTTGTAAAGCGTACATTAAACGCTGCAACCATTTCTCAAATGTTCATTATTTAATTTTATGGAATTAATTTCAATTTTAGAGTATTTATAATTTGTGATTATAAGCATTCCAAATGGTCATTAATGTATTTCAAAGTATGTATATTGACATGAAGTTATATCTGCATCATTCTAGACCATCCTTCAGATCGTGGCGGAGAAATCCAACATTAAAACAAAATGACATGTTTTTTTTAAGGACCACCTAGGTTCATTTATTGTAGGAACACACAAGAACACAGGTATCTGTAGATAACTGGAAATTCTTATGAAACGGAAGCAGAACACATTCTCTCCAAACGCATCCAATGTTTATAGTTTTTACGCAAATCTTTTCAACATGCAGTCCTAACTGATTAAATATTATATTCTTTATGAAATCAAAGTATTCAGTCAATTGAACAGGAGAAACGACACTAAAAATACATCATTCGGAATCTATTGCATTTTCTGAATACATTTCAATTTACAACTACAGTACAAATATTGTGAAAGACTTCATGTTTCTATCCTAACAATTACATTATAGAAAATTTATGTTGAAATCGAGCTGCATGCATGCTTCAATTTAAGGGCTATTTCTTTTTTAACGCAATTCATTCTCATAGAAAAAAAAACACATGAAAATGAGAGTGGATCCGAAAAACGTCAATTGTGAATTTCAGATTAAAGCCATGCCAAATGAGCAAGATGCATTCATTTCACACCTATTTTATAACAATCGCGAAAAGAAGCTGTTTCAGTCACGAACATGGTTTTATAACTATCGCGATGATGTTCGTGTGGTGAAGAGTAGGCGTTATTAGTTTGATATCAAAATATGCATTCACTTTATGATACTAACTTAATACCACACATTTAAATGACTATTAATATAACCATGTGACACACGCAAACAAAAAAAAACGTTGCCTGAACAAACTAGAAAACAGAAGTGAATGCATACGATACCGACAAACGTCCCAAAATAATGAAAGGATAAAAAATGGTCGAACTTAAGCAGATTACTGCAAGTGAATACACTAAACAAAAAAAAGTTCCACGAGGGACAATGTAAAAGAAACAAGTTTAAAAGTTGCACTTCAATTGGAAAACTAGAAACATGATTCAAAATTTAGTGACTTTTCCGAACGCGTTTTAATTTCCTAAGAATTTAATTATAGGGAATTTTTTGTTTATAGGAAGCAAAATTTATACCACTGAATTAAAAGTTTGCGTTCAATGGTTCCTTTTTAAACACTCAATTCAATATAACAAAAAATTGAAACAAACAAAAAAAAAATACAATACAAACTTACATACAACGATTTCTGTTCACACAATTCAATTTCAGATAAAAACCAAGAACATTCGATCCATTTTTAAAGAACAAACATTAAGAGCATATGAAATTTAAACTCGGAATATTTACACAGAAATTACCGATTTGCAGCATTCTCCGAAAAAAGGGGGTAATTTAACGTGAAAACATATTTCGTAGTTATTACGATCTCTATAAAAAAAAAAATTCCGTTTGTCATAAAATGGCTTCTGAAAAACCGTCAGAGGATTGAACGAAACTGAAACTTAACAGTCAAAGTTGAAGTTCCATTTCCCGCGCGAGAAGAAAACTCCATCAGCCAATCAAAAAATTCGAAGAATATACAATGTCGCTAGAATTCAGCCTCGGAACATTCGAACTATATGTCTTTTGGCGAGTGGCAACGGGTTTGAGAAGAGAAACAAACGGCCTCGAAGCGTTAGAATGTTTCAAAAACATTGTAATAACAAAACGATGGTATCGTTGCAGAAGTTTTTTTTAAAAAAAGGATTTCATAATAAAATATGAAAATTTTACGAAACATGAGAAAATTTCGAAAAACAAAAATTTTAATATGCTATTATTTTCTTCTTCAGTTGAATAAATTTTAAAAAGCTAGAAACAAAACCGTTACCATTTCAGCTTAAATCCAGTTAATTAAAGGATATCTTGAGAAAGGTAAGGTATCAACTCTTAAAACCATGAAGTTGATTTTGTTCATACATTTTAATGAAGGATTGATAGTATTATTGTTAGAAACTTTTAACAGTTAGGGGGTTTTTTGTTAACGAAAAATAAATAAATGAAAATTCCCGAGATTTTATATGAATTTTGAATAATTTCACTCATTGACATAAAGCGTATAACATTGTATAATTTTTAACAGACACATAATAATGGATTGTTAGGAAAACTGAAATTTCGTTCATGTCACATGCAAATTATATTCAATTGAAAGTAATTCTACATTCAAAAAAGTAGTTAGCTACATAACGGGACAGGATACACATTCAAAATGGGGATGTTTCTGAATTAAAAATGCTTATTCAAAATGCATTAGAATTCAG